AACATAATTAAAAACAAATATTAATAATTGGTCTAATTAATTTAAAATTACTTTAAAACCCCCATTAAAAATTTTCCCCTAGGCCAGTCCTGCAAGCTGGAATAACCATGTCTTAAGGGCGCGGCGGAAGGAAGGGAGATCAGGGATCACCCTGATCTCTGGGGGTAGTTCATTCCAGAGGGTGGGAGCTCCCACAGAGTTCTCTAGAATTAAAGGTATTGGTGCTTGTTATTTCCAGGCTGATCTATTACTGTCTTCATTCTTACTTTCATTTACTTGAGCTTTTGCAGTAGGGTAGCACATGCTTTGGTATTCCCAAGATCAGTTTTAGGTAGAGTACAAACATGACTGCTTTATCAATTTTTCCTTATAAAAATTTAGGAGATGAAAGTGAATATTACAGGGAGACACAGCCTGCTGGCACTGCTTTTTTTACTTCAACTTTCCCTGAACTGTCTGCATCAAATGTACATATACACATTGAGGTACATGTAAATCACACCTTCCTGAGATAATCCTAGACATTCACGGTCAGAAAGCTAGATACGAGCAACGCTTTTTGTCCTATTTCTAAATGAGTAAGCATTTTGTAGGGCTTGTTGAAAAATTGCTAGATTAGATTTTTGCAAATGAGTTTATTTTATGTCTTTACAGTTCAGCAAGGACTACAAACATATGGGGTTACTATATGGAATCTTATAATACAGTCCACTTAGAATAAAGGTGACAGTAATTATAGTTTTCATATTAATTAGTCATGCTGAGGCTGGGATGACTACATGACTGCACCTCAAAGCCAAACAAAAGCTAACAGATGCAAGAAATATCTGTCTCATAAAAAACATTGCTTAATAACCCTGTAATGGATGGTTGTCTCAAAAACTGGATTTTCCAATGTTATACTGATTAAGGATTAAACAATACTGTACTTATAATTACTTTATTGCTCAATATAGCAAAATAAATCAGCAAGCACCTCTGTGATGTGAGATTGCTGAAGTTAACTAAGCTTACATTATAGCTATCCTTGGGATAAGAATTGCTTCCCTTAAAGCCATAATGTCACATGGTTTATAAATGGCATAGATAAAAATGAGATTATATTGATGTATTAAAAAAACAATTAAATTCCAGAATGAACACGGCCTCTACTTATGGAAAGAGCAAATTTAGATAGTGCCTCAAACCATACCTTTTGTAGGCACTGCAAGCTGTGCAAATAAGGTTTTAGAGTGTGCCGATAGATTGGTTTAGATATTTCAGAAATAGATGTAATTATTGAACTTTCATTCATTAAACAATTTAGCAAATGATTAAATTTCACCATCTGGTACATATGGAATTTTACTCTCAAGCGGACTTTTGTTTATAGAGTTGCCAGAGTTATCTGTAATAGAGTGACCGTCCCTTATGGTAAAACTAAAATTTTTAACATGCATGCAAGATATGTTTGTTCAGTAAAGCCTCATACGCACGGAATAGTTCAAGAAATCTAAGCCAATGACAGATCTTATATTTACCTCAGAGCTATCAGTTTCCATAAATATAAATAAAGCATAGGTATCATAGCTAGATAGGTCAGTAATCTTATTGTCTCATGTAAACATTGCTTTCTTACTAGTGTCAGTTGAGTTCAGTTCCTGGGTCTTTAATCCTTCATTGACAGTTCTTGAAGATAATATCCTGACAAAAAGTAGAGGGGGTGGGGGGAAAGAAATGGAAGATTAAAATTGAATTTTGCAGAGCTTTGTTCCATATTGTTTCTTAAACCGAACATGATATAAGACTCAGGCATATTGAGCATAAGGGCACATTTCATTATTTTTCAATGTAAGTGGAAAATAAGATGATCAGAATTATGTCTCAAGAATAATTATGTATTATGAAGAAGTGGACACTGAGCAATTCTCCTACCATTTCCTAAGTGTTAAATCCCTGGAGCAGGAAGGGGGGCGGAGATACAAAGATAGAAATCAACGTCCCATTACCTCCATGATTTGGAGAAGGAACGTTACTTAAAAGTATTTATCATCTAAAAGGAAGACAATCCTGCCATGCATCAAAGGCACATCAGAAGTGGCTGCCAGGCTACTGCATTCCCTAGGAATAACAATAGCCTACTAACTCTCATTCACGCTCAGACAGGAACTTATAAAAATCAAAGACAGAACACTGAAAGAAGACAGCACCAACATAATATACAGAATCACTTGCAATTATTGTAACCAGTTCTACATCAGGCAGACAGAACAGTTAAAAACCAGAATCCATGAACACCACTGGCTGTCAAACAGCATGACCCAAAGTCCCTGATCGCCAGTCACATCAACAACAAACAACACTGGTTTGACTGGGATGAAGCTGAAAAATCAGCCATGCCAAAACTTGTCAGGCACATGAGTTTATCGAAGAGTGGCATTCTATCAATGGGTCCATCAACAAACACACTGACTTAGAACCAGCATATGAGAAATAAGGAAGTGGACCATCCAACTCACTAATCAATGACAGAATTGACCACTCCCTCATCAGTTAAATTCCGTGCTTCACAGCAACCAGTCAGAAGTCACAAGACCAGAATCAGTCTTGTGACTCAACCAGTCTTGTTATTCAACCAGTCACAAGACCAACCAACCACCCAGTACCTATATAAACGAACAAGACACTTCACCCAAAACTCCGCTAAAGATGTTACCTAGTTTGGTAATAAAATGTCCGGGAGCCATGCAGCAAGTTCAGAGGACAAATTTCTGCCTAAAGACAACCTATATTTAAAAAATCTCCTTCACCCCATCCCAAATTGACAAGAGACTATGAACTCTAATAAAACCAATTCTCAAGATTTATCATTAATTTGCTAAACAGGTGTGGGCACATATGTATTCATGCATGCTCGGCTTCTGAGTTGGGGGGGGGGTATTGGTTTTTGTAATTAAATTTTATTTTTGTAAATTGCCCAGAATCATTGTGAGTGACTTGAGCAGCCATATAAATGTTTTAAATGAACAAATACATGTAAATATATATAACATGTATTCTTCCCAGAAGATGCACAACAAAATAGGGGCAGGCTCAGGGCAGCCTCGATTCTCAACCACCAATTAAATGAATTGCCCATAAAATAATGTATCCTGTTCATAACATAAACCCCATTTACATATAGCAAATATTCTCATTTGCACGTGTGAATCGCTTCCTTTCAGACACATATTTCAAACTTAAACAAGAAGGAAAAATAATAATTAGAGATGAAGATACTGGGAAGGGGAAGGAAAAGGAAAGGGAAAAAGAAAACTAGTGGGATTGAGGCAAGGGGAAATAACAACTTTCAATTTTGAATACAGCCCAATTCAGTAAGGGACAATGGGTACCAAACAAAATAAAAATAATTATAACCAATTCATTTCTCCTTTAAACTAGCTATACAGTTGCATATAAAGCTTAGGCACATCTGCTTAAATTGTATTATAGTTCTAGACTAGCCAATAATCATAATTCTCAGACCCAGTCATTCATCAGGGGTGGAGTGGGGAAAGAGAAGGAGGCATGTGACAAGCGTGTCATGGAGTTTGCACCATGACATTGTAATATATATTTTGGCATCAGTGTGGTTAGAAAAACATGCAGTGGTAAATAAATCAATTATATTATAAAAAGTACCACAGTGTAAAAACATAGAAAAGAAGACAGAAAGAGGCACTGTTGAAAAAGGGTTTCAAAATGCCCAGTTCTAGTTACCTGTCCTTGTATTTAATATTTTGAAAATCAAATCATTGTTCATTATAAACATTAAGTTTAATGCTTACTGTTTTTCTGGTTGAACAACTGCAATTTTCTTTTCCTTGTTCACTGTAAATCAAAATGAAGCATGCTGATTATTAATGTAATATAAACACTATAAGATATATCCTATGATGACACAAAGCAACTGCAACTCTTTACATGAAAATAATCACATAATCACTATAAATTGTAACCTAGTAACAAAACACCAATATGGAAACGACGATTTTATTCTTTTTGATCTTACAAATGGGCACTTCTCCAATTCAGTTCCTAAAAATATTAATTTAAAGGCTTCCATGTAATGCACTTATTTTAGCAAATATCCTCTAAAGCAGGTGTAGGGCCTCAGATCCCAAATGAATTTTAACAGGAGTTTTTAATTTAAAAAACAATGAATTGAAACATCAAACTCCTTATTTGTACCGACGCCTTTGAAGCTCACAAGAAATTTGATAGCATGGCCAGGAGGACTGGGTGGAGGAGGAGGGGGAGGATTAGCTTTCTATTTGATAAACAACTTCATGGCTTCAGTTTTGCAAGTGCACCAACACGTCCTGTCAAAATACCAACAGTGACCTCAGCTCTAAACACTTATCTTTACCTTCCTACTAGTTCTCAGGCATTCTTAGAATTAAATAAAACCACTAATTTTATACCTCTTATGATCTTTACAAGTATGTTTATATGCTGCAACCAAGATCACATATCTTTTTATTATGTCTAACAAAAGCACATATAAATACTTCAAAGCATATCCCATTGTCTAATACAGTTATGCACCAGATTGCTGCAGTGGTTCAAGTGCTGGCCTAGAAATCAGGGAAAATAGAGGGAGGGAGGAATATTATATATGCTTGGCACTTTGAGTAATAAAGTAATAAAATAATAAAGGCAGGATAAAAACAATCTAATAAATAAATAATATTCATACCTACTGCTCTGCGAGGAGGTCTAAGCTGGTATCCATTAGTTTCACACCAACCAACTGGAAATATATTCATAGACTCCACACTCACTATGCATTCAGGCACTGGGATTTTAGAACCTGTATAATAATAATAATCATCATCATCATAATGTTCGCAAGCACAATTGTCATCACTGCCACTACTATATCACCACTATCTTACAGGGCTAACCAGCTATAATATTTCTTATGAACTGGTACATTCTCATTCCTCTGCACATGTGAATCGTCTCTAATCTTGTCAATTAGCTCTGCCAGGCTACAAGTATCTATTTTCAAGGTTTTTAATTATCAGGAGTGGTAAAAATAAATACAGATTAAATGCAGCTATTTCAAAGTATTTCCTGAAGGAAAATAGTTTGCTATATATTGTTTATGACACTCAGGCAAAATACATCTGCAAATGTGACCTGTGGAATGACAAATCAAGTTAAAAAGATCTTTCTCTCCTCTGAAAGACAACTTACTTTCCAACTGGAGCCAGAGATAGGAATCCTTCACCTTTGTAATACTAGCCACACAGATTTCTTCTGGGTTTTCTGAATTCACAGCCTCAAGTTTCATGTTCTCCTTAAAACCATGCTCAAAATTTAACTAACACAAGCAAAACACAAGAAACATGTTTATTATGTATTTTAAGAGCCTCACATTAAAATACCAATGAAAAAATAGTTCAGAATAATTTTAGCAGTAAAGCGGACACTTGGAAGACATCAACAGAACAGATGGTCCAGACTTTGCAAGTGTGAAATCTTTTAGAAACACACGAGGTTTCAACTGAACAACCAAAGTAATACCTTATATCTTGAATAAAATGCACAAGGTCTTTGACTTCAAACTCAGAACTTTGCATTACACAAAATTAAATAAGGGAAAAAAGATACTTATATGTAGTTGGAAACTTGCTTTATGGCTCAAGGAAGACTTGGTTATCTCAAAACAGCTAAAAACGTTCTACTCTACCACCCATAAGTGTTGATCTGCCCAATATCTGAATGTAAACAATTGCCTGTAATCTTCATGTATAATCACACCTTCCTCCTCCTATCATGGGACCTCCTGACTTAGATAATGCTGTCCCTCAATGTAGGATGGCTTTCTACAATTTTCAGTTATTGAGAAAATACCCTTTCCCTTCCTAAATACACACTAAATAAACAGCCATTTTTATTCCTACATTAGCTTGTTGGGTTCTCCCCCCCGCCCGCCCCAAAAAAGAAATCCCTAAACCTAAAATACTGGATGCTAGACTGAAGAATTCCAATTAAGCAATCTACCAATCTTTTTAAAAAGCATTATTAAAATGGTTGGTTGCACAGTCAGCCAGATATTTAGACTGCTTTTGGCATTTAATTATAATAATAATAAAGTTGGAAGGGACCTTGGAGGTCATCGAGTCCAACCCCCTGCCCAGGCAGGAACCCTACACCATTTCAGACAAACGGCTGTCCAGTCTCTTCTTAAAAACTTCCAGTGTTGGAGCATTCACCGCTTCTGGAGGCAGGTTGTTCCATTGGTTAATTGTTCTAACTGTCAGGAAGTTTCTCCTTAGTT